TCAATAAACAACAATACGCACAAGGTAACCGACTGGACAACCAACACAAAATATCAAAAAATAATTTGATTTTCGGGTGACGGTTGCGGCAACGGTCGAAGCAGCATGCACTGGTTGCTTCAACGGTTGCCTTGTGTTAAGTAAGCATAAAAATTTGATTTCTGACGATTTTTGAAGTGAAACTTATTTGCAACTTCGATTGGTAATAAATGCAAAGAATGAAAAATCAACACGCTCGTTGGGCTTTAATTCCGACAGAAGAAGGTGATGGTTTATCACGATCATCATTTCTGCGCCGTCTTTGCTTTTTCAAAACTTGGGTGTCAACAAAAAAATTAAATGCAAATTATTGAATCTCTTAACTACATGTAGGAGGGTTGCCTTTTCTTTAAAAATCAAATTCAATTTAAATTAACGCAATTAGGTAATTGAGCTACACATGTAAAAAGGTTTAGGTTTGAAAATAGTTCGAAGAGAATTGCCAGAAAGGCTTTATTTCACAATTATATTTAAGAGGGTTGCCATGCGTTTAAAAAACCAAATTCAACTTAATTCGTCAGTTCAGTTGCCACTTGTCTGAGAGGTCGAATTCAGTAAACTTATACAAAATATCTGTATGTATATGATATATTTACAAATGATTGTCGAGCAAAGGAGTTTTTGATTAGGGTTGTCACCTATTCGAAATGTCGTATCTATCTAACTAAATCAGCATATACGCGAAAACTTTTTTCATGAGGATCATAAGATCAGCACCGTTCTATTGAATTAAAGATCTTGGCCTGCTTAGATTTTGATATTCGAATTTGTTTTATCGGTAATTAGAAATTAGAGAAACCACACCCTGCGAGACTTCTGCCCACTCCGCTCCGCTCCACATGGATCCGCTTATAACTGTGAATAACATTTGGAAAACATTTTACTGCGGGTAATGGAGAAAGGAGAAGTTTCACTTCAGTCGATTTTTTTTACTGACGCTCTTCCCCAATTTTTTATAAGGAAAGCTGCATCCAACAAATTTTAATAACTCTGAGAAAAAGTTCGAAATTTTGATGAACATTTTATAAATTACACTGGATCCAAAATTTTAGTTTGGTTTTCGTTCTCCAGACGCCACTATCCAATTTCTATATAGAATTGCCCGGTGATTCCGAAAACCGAGTTATTTTTTTTCTGTGGATACGTTTTCGAGATATTTTCAATTTACCGTTATTCAGCTCAAAACAAAACGTGGTTTGACTTAATCATGCTTATCTTACGAACCAAATTAACAATCTTAAATGGAGATACGTGAAATCAAAGCTAATGAAAAAAAGCGTGTTACTCAGGTGTACGTGGCGTATGAGTAACTTTCTTTCCTGCTCATTTTTCATAAAACAAATCTTTGCGTATTTTCATTTGACCATTAGTAAGTTGGTTTTTTTTTTTTTTTTTTACAGAACAGGCTTTAGCACAAATGCAAAAATTTGGCTCAAAACCTGTTATTTTTTAAATTTTTCTTCCGTTAAAGTTAGATTTTTTTTATTTTTCATTAAAAATTAACAAAAAAAAAAGGAATAATTAATTAATTTGTCAGAAACTATAAGTCCTATCGGAAAGTGATGTATAAATTGCTTTCATTTGCCGTATTTTTATATTAAGATTGGTTCGTTAGATATACGTGATTAAAAGGAACCAATAACGGTAAATTCAAAACACATATCTTGAAAAGGTATCCATAGAAAAAACAATTAACTCCATTTTCGGAATCACCGAATAATTCTACATAGGAATAAGATAGTGGCATCCACAGAACATTTTTGGTGTGAACCAGTGTTCTTTTTTTTACTTTTCTACATACATACATATTTATTTTGAAACTTGCGTTCACATGGGTTTTCGCACAGTATATACAGTAATAAACCTTTTTGATCTGATCAGGGTTGATTATGAGAAGGAGCATGAATTTTGCCGATTCAGAGTTGCATACAAATTTACTGTGGTATGAAAGGGAGCAACAACCGTACTATGGCAGAGTGACACAGGTAATTTTGTAAACAAACACTTTTCTTATAATTTTAAGAGATAATTGCTATTTATTTTGCAATATTCCGATATCCAGTGTATATCCAGAGGCAGTGGCAACTGAGCCTCACTAAAATCTACTCATCATGTTGGAGCAGCTCCGGGTAATGGACCATTGAATTCGCTGGCTGAACTTATGACCACCTTAACCTTCG